TCGCCGAGTTAGGTCGGCGGTTGTATAGCTGCGCAGAGGTGGTCCCCTCGCGTCCGACCTGCGGACAGACGAGTGCTCGCTACCACTCGTCCGACTATCAAGTCAGATCACTTCGAGGCTCGCCGAGTTTGGTTCGGCTGAGCTCGTTCACACCCTGTGCCCTCATCAAAGGATGGACGACGGCGCGCGAGCGCTTTTACAGGTCACCGAGCGCAGAGGCTGCTCAGCTAGAAGTGTTACGGCACCCGGGCTATCCGACGTACCGGCCCGCTGAGTATGCGGGACTTTCTTTCGCGCGTAGCGAGACTTTTGGTCTACCCGGACCGACCTAATCTCTTGGCGCTACCAGTCAATACCCTACAAGCTATGCCTCTCGAGTACTGACGGCAGGCATAATCCAGCCCTATGCAGGGACTTACTGGAAAAGTGTACACGTGTCTTGGACTAAGAAAATTCTGCTCTGTTATCTTCTGGGAGCCCTTTCGGCTCCCCCAATTTAATCCTATGCTTCTGAAACAAATATCTAGTGAAATGTAGTCGTTTCGGATCTCTACCGACCCTTCAGCTGGGTTCAGGCGACCGTTGAGCTCAGCGGCTATCCGGATAGCATATCCGGACAGATCGCCGAGTACTTACCGGGATCCTTTGTTCCTAAGCTCTGGGTTATCAGACCGAGCCGATTCTTGATCTAAAGTAGGTTGGCGTATGGTCGAATCTGAAAATCCCTACACCACAGAGCAATAGGAAACAAGAGAAGCCTTGAGCACTAGAAGCCCAATTGGAAAGTGATTTTTATCGATGAGGTGGAGCTGATGGTCAACGAGCGGATCCCATCCATCCAACGATAGGCTGAGCGACTACTTAAGTTCGTTTCGCACGGAGAAATTATCAGCAACTACTCATTTTAACTCTGAAAACTAATGTTTCTACTAAAACAAATGGCTTGCCAAAGAAAATAAAAAATAGGATTTATAAGACGCTTGCACTTATTTATAAAATTTGTATTATTAATACCCGACAATTTACGCGAAGGGTGGTCCACACACTCGTGAATTAATCCCTGTAGGGCTGTCCGTATTTATACTATTCGGGAATACTTTCAACCTCTGGCAACTTCGAGCTACATGCAATGTTACTGTACATATTTACACCAGAGAACCATTAAAAAGCCCCACATCGAATGCAAAAGACAAGATATTGACTGCGTTAGAGGTATGATGTTGTGGAGCTTCACTCATACAAGATGCTGTAGCCAAAATCCATGCGCTCATCCTCCTCTTCCTCTCGCTTCGACTGCGAGCGTCTGGTCATGGCGATCAGCACCACAGCAACCAGCAGCAGGACCGCACCTCCTATCACGTTGAGGAACGAAGCCTGCGCATTGGCAACGCCCACGTCGTTAACGTCCGATGCCAGCAAAGCTGTGGCCGTAGCGGTTGCTGGAGAAGGAGCCATGGAGATACCGGACAGTGAGTCCACCAGCGCATCCAGCTCTTTCTGCTTCTGCTCTTGCTCGTCGGCAAATATGTCCGTCTCCGCCACGAGCTCGTTGTGAGTCTCCGGTGCGGGACCGTCAGCCAGGAAGTTAACCAGCTGATCGATCTTGTCCTTCTGCGCGGCGTCACTGGCCAAGAAGCTCTGCAGATCTCCCAGACCCGATGGCTGAGCAAGACTGTCAACCAATGCGTCGAGCTCGTCTTGTCGGGCCTGTTGCCCCTCGGCGAAAACGTCGTCGTTGGCCAGCAATATGTGACGATTTTTGCCGTCATCCATGGACAATTCCTCCGCGATTAGCGAGCGGTGGGGGTCTTCACCGGCGTATGAAGGCATCTCAGCGATCGAAAGGCGAGATAGAGAGACGAGGAGGAAGATACTCAAATACTAGTGGTACAAGCATTCACGACGGTTGGGGGTCATCTTGTCACTTTGATTCCTCGTTTTAGTGACACCATGTAGACGCCACTTTCAAGTCTGCATCTATGGCTTTTAGAGGCGTGTTTCTTCAGCTAATCGAGGACGAGAACGCCGCAGGTTTTCGCGTCGTGGCGTCCGACACCAAGCTTACATTGCCTCCACGCCCCTACCCGGCGCGCGAGACATTTCTGACCAAGTGGAGCCAGCAGAAGCTCGTGGTGGCCGACGCTGTGACTGACAAGTTGCTGCAGGTGGCGCGTTTGGCCACAGTATCGCTGCATCGCGACGAGCGGTCGATACTATGGGGCGTCACGGCCCCATTCGTACCGGCCGAAAGTCGAACGGTGGGTGCCGCGCCCCTGGACAGCTATGCGGACGTTCCTCAGGCTGTCAAGAAGACGCACGTGCTCACAGCCGCTGCCAGTAGCAAGGATGCGGCGTCTCTGGCAGCGGCTGTGGCTTCCCCGAGTGTAATTGCTGAGGGGAACGCCCCGCAGGGACTTACGCTTCGACCTAAACGGGGTGCTGAGCCGCCCACGAGGCTCTGCTACTGCTTCCACTTCCGCACTGACTTTGAGTACGAGCTGTTCGCACGCACACTGGAGGCCTTTACACGCATGCAACGATATGCATTGCTGCAAAACTCAGTAGTGATGGAGATGGAGATCTCGCAGGAACACAAGAAGCGGAAGCTGGACGAGGGCATTCGCCTGCAGGCCACGGCTGACAAAACCAAGAAGCGCGAGGAGCAACTGGCGCTGATCAAAGCCAAGAAGCAGGCCAAGAAACGGGACAAAGAGCAGGACAAGACACTCGTACAAGCAGAGACAAAGAAAAAAACCAAAACCAAGGGCAAAGCGAAGGTGAAGGCTGCTACGCCCCCGAGCAAGATGATCTGTGTCCTGTGTCGCATGCAGAGGAAGCCTGATGCGCCAGAATATCCGAAACATCCTTTCGTGCTGAAGGTTCGTGTCATCGAACTCAGTTCGAGAATTCCTGCGGTGATGCTTTTTGCACTTTCAGAAACCGGTGAGGAATTTGCTGCGCTAGAAGACCCGTTGATCTGAGTAGTAGAATGTAAAACTGAAAGTGAATTCAAATTGGTTAGCTTCTCTCTAGCTTCTCTGCCTGCTTCAAAGAGTAACTTGTACATGAAAACATACATTGCCGCCTTCGATGCTGGTGCCATCACCAGCCAGGTACTTGTGCAGCCTGAATCTTCAACAGCGCCAGTCATGACTTCTGATTTCGCTGTGGACACCTTCGGTGCCCACCTTCTTCTAGTCGCTTGCTGCTTTTCACCCACGACACTGGCAGCTTTGTCGTGGCTTGATTTCTTCGAGCTGGACGCCTCCACAAGATCTTGGGCCAGCTGGTTTCGGAGAAATGGCTAGAGTTTTGCCATCTGCAACAGCCTCCCTCAAAAGCTACGCCATATCGACCACTTTTACCATGTGAAGCTGATCCCGTAGACGCTCGAACACAATGCGCTGCAGTGGCTTGGTCATAATGTCGGCGATCTGTTGTTGAGTTGGGCAGTATTTTACCGTCACATCGCCCTGTTGAATCACGTCTCTGATGAAATGATACCTTATGTTGATGTGCTTTGTTCGAGGACTTGACATCTCGTTCGTCATCGATTTGATAGCAGATTGATTGTCAACCTGCAGCAGGACAGCTTCTTTCGCTGTCCATAGTCGAAGTTCGACCAGTAGTTGCTTGACCCATACAGCGTCCTTCATCGCCATAGCGGCCGCGACATACTCAGATTCCATGGTCGACAGCGCGACCGATGCTTGCTTCTTTGAAGCCCACGAAATTGCTGAGCTATTCACCATCAATACAGCACCGGAGACAGATTTGGCATCGGTACTATCGCCGGCCCAGTCAGCATCGCTGTAGATTGTCACGGCTACCTTCGAGCCGACACCTTGCCCGTACTTGTAGTTAAGTCCAAACGCTGTCGTTCCTCGTAGATAACGAAGTACGCGTTTAACGCCTTGCCAATGGCTCTGACGTGGCCGAGCAACGAAACGAGCCAAATAGTTGACAGCTGCAGTAATATCGGGGCGAGTGCAGTTTGAAATCCAGAGCAGAGACCCGATTGCCCGTCTCATAATCGTGGTTTGCTCCATCATCAAATCGTCGTCGAATGCGATTGATGGGTCCATGGGCGTGCTGACAGGCCTGCATTCGGCCATCCCCATTTCGCGGAGGAGTTCTTCGATCGTGTCGTGCTGGTGAAGCAGTATGCCGTCGTTGGTGTGCTCAATACTGATACCAAGACATTTAGCAGCCACGCCCATGTCCTTAATGTCGAACTTGATGCCGAGTTGTCGCATTACCCAGTCACTATCAGCATCAACTTCACTGACGATAATCACATCGTCCACATAGAGACCCAGCAAGGTCAGCTTGCTATTGTAGCGACGAAAGTAGAGACATGGGTCCATCTTGCTTCTAGTGAAGCCAAGCGACAGTAGAAACGCGTTCATCTCCCGGTTCCAGAGCAACCCGCTCTGCTTGAGACCATACAGTGACTTGAGCAATAGCCACGCTGTGCCGTTCGCTACTGGGGTGCCTTTAGGTGGCTTCATCAGGATTGGGCGGTCTAGTGGAGCCTTGACATACGCGTTCGGGACATCGCCCTGACGCAACCGACGCTTCCATAGAGCCGCAAGCGCCACGAGTAGACGAAGACTGGTGATCTTGAGTACTGGAGAATAGGTCTGGTCAAAATCAATCCCATATCGCTGCGTAAAACCTCTTGCAACTAATCGAGCTTTAAAGCGCTCGAGTTCGCCTCGGTTGTTGAACTTAATGCGAAATACCCACTTCGACGATATCATGTTTGCTCCTGCTGGAGCTCGCACAACTTCCCATGTACCATTCGCTTGAAGGTCAGCTAGCTCCTTCTCGATTGCTGCCTTCCATTCAGGCCACTCAGGCGTCGCCATGGCTTCTGTTAGATTTCTGGGGGTAATCATCTTGGTCATTGCGGTTGTTAGCATCAGGCTGGCTGAACCGGCAACTTCCGTGATCAAGTCATGGGGCAATGAGAAGTCTGCGGTTCTTGACTTCTTGCGCGTACCAAACACACGACGAATGGCTGCTGCGCTGACGGGACTGCCAGCGTACTCGTCTTCACCACTGTCGCTTGCAGCGTCGATCGAGTTTTGCTTCTTGCGCTTCTGGTTCTGTGAGCGGAGAACCATCCCGACTTTTGAAGAACGGAGAGAGGGACTTGAATTATCGAGTTCGTCAGCGCCGCTCGGACCTTGATCACCAGCTTGATTGGCTGGATTTTTGTCGTAGTTCTTCTTTGTAGAATCAAAGGCGTCAGTACTACCTTCGGCGCCTGACTCACCATGTAGCTCCGCTAGTGTTGTTCTAGCCTCATTATCACTCACATCGAGCTTGTCTACGTTCTGGACATCCGCGCTCACGACGATCTTCTTCGTCCGTGGGATGAGAATCCGATAGCCCTTCTGCTGTTCACTGACGCCAATTACGATGCCCTTTTCAGCTCGTTTCTTGAGTGAAGCTCCTGCCTTGTGCGCCACGTGAACAGTACAGCTCGATCCGAATTTTAAAATATGTCCCACCTTGGGTGGTTTGTCCAACAGTACATGCAGCGGCGCTTTGAAATCTGCGTTTGCTCGGGTTGGAAGATGATTTCTGATGTAGGAGGCGTATCTGGCAGCATCACCCCAATAACGCTCGGGAAGCTTTGACGCCCACAGCATGGCACGACCGGCGTTCATGATTGTCCGGTGCATCCTTTCCACTTTGCCGTTCGAGGCCGAGCTGTCTGGAAGTGTTAGTTGCTGCCTTATGCCGTGTCGTTTGAGGAACGCGACAAACTCTCGCCCTTGAAACTCTCCACCTCCGTCTGTGCGAACAACTTTCACAGTGACGCCGTACTGGCGCTGGAATTCCGGCACAAAATTCATCACATGCTCAGCTGCCTCGTTCTTCGACTGGAGAAGGTACACACGATTGAAGCTTGACCCGTAGTCAACAATAGTGAGTAGGTGCTTGTTACCGTTTCGATCTGGATTCATGTCCGTCTTTAAATCGATCCCAAGGACAGCACCAATTTCATCCGTCGGCGCTGATGTCGACGTATCTGCTGTCGGCTGTGCACTCTTCGTCTGTTTAGCTTCTGCACAGGTCAAACAAAAACGGAGTTTCTTCGACAGTACCTCCATGTCGCTCGTTAAGCCCTTCGAATGCATGCGAAGCAGATCTTGAAAATTTACGTGGCCGAGCCGCTCGTGCCACTGCTGTAGTGTGGTCCTTGATATACCCACAAACATGGCCGCCGCGTCTTCATGGTTCTTGACGGTCTCGCCGTTCAGAATCCACAGCTTCCCTTGGCGCGCTGCGACAGCCACGCAAGTGCCGTAGCTGTTGATAAGACGGCACTGCGTTCTGCTAAATGTACTTGAAATGCCGTGCTCACCCAGCTCGGTTACGGAGAGTAGATTTCGCTCAAGCCCAGGAACAAAATGCACTTCGTGTAGCATGACGATAGTCGTCTTGTCGCTGCTTTGCACGCGGAGAAGACAGCTTCCTTTGACACTGGCTTGTAGTAGACCACCATTTGCTACAGTTATAACTAAGTCGGAAGGTGAAATCCCAAACAGCATATCCGCACTTGAGCACATGTGATGAGACGCACCAGAGTCAACCAGCCAGCTCGTCACTTGTGTTGCATGCCTGTTGGTTACTGACGTGGCCATCCACAGGTCAGCAGACCCGTCTCCATCATCGTCACTCTGGCTGCTTTGCGGCCTCGCCTGGTGCGCCGATCCGTGCTGTTGCTTTTTCGGGCTCGGGCAGTCGGCTTCTCTGTGGCCAGGTTCGTCACAGTTCCAGCAGCGAAACGTTCTTGTGCTCGTATTAGCGTGACCGCTATCCGTCTGCCTCGGGCTCTGGGACTGCTGTTTGCTGCGCTGTCTTTGCTTACTCTGCTGGTTGTGTCCATGTTGCTGCTGCTGACTATGGCCGCGTTGCTGCTGCTGCCATCCCTGTTTCTTCTGACTGTTTCCAGCAGGCGCTCCTTGGTGTTGCTGCTGACGGGGAGGGTTGCTCTTGCCTCCCTGCTTGTTGTGACCGACACGACGACCGTCGCCCTTGAGACGAATCAGAAAGTCAACGACTTTGTTGAGCTCTTCATTGTAGTTGGTGTTCGTCTCATCAACCTTGCTTAGTAAAGTCGATTTTAGGTCGGGACAAGCGTTGTTGCACACTGTTTCTAGCAGTAATTGTGAGCGGTCACCTTCCATGAGCCGCTCGATGAACTTTAAATAGCTGACATATTCTTTCCAAGTATCACCTGCGCGCTTGGTGGTATCCAGTCGTTTTCCAAGCTCGTACTGGCTTAGACGACAACCAAATTCCTTCATAAGGTGTGCGGTCAGCACCTCGTAGCTGACATCACTGGTGCCTGCCAACTCATGATATGCACGAGCAGCTTGATCTTCCAAGAAAGTGCCCAGCACAGAAGCCCTTAGCTCGCTTGACCACTGTGACTTATTTAGCAGCCTTTCCATGCGCACCGCGCTCTCAAATTCGTTCAGGAAGTCCTCGACCCCGGCTCCGAGTCCTGGATACTTTTCAACACCAGTAAAGCGTCGACAGTGTATGTCTTTCAGCTTCGGCGGCCTGTGAGCGCTGTGAGTCACTGTCGCTGTGACCGGTGGGCTCTCGGTGGTCTGCTCCATTGATTGAGAGGGTGGCTTCTGCTCTATCGATGATTTCTTGGACACTGAGAGCGAGGAAGGCTCCGGACTTTCTTTGCCAGCTACCGAGATATCAGCTGCTGCTGACTTTGCCTCATCTGACTCTTCTTGTGGTATTGTGGAAGAGATCTTTGGATTCTCGTGCTGTGGCTCAGCTACGGTGTACCCGTCGGGTGCCACCTCCGTTGTTATGCGAGTGCTCATCTTCACAGGGGTTGTAGTGACAGGAAGCTTCTCTTCAGTAGGGTTCATATCGTACTCCCGTCGCACGGCAGCTTTTTGGTGCTCCCTTAGCATTCGTTGCTGTGTGCTCACAATCA